CCATTGCCTATCAAGGGCCAATCCATTGCCTGTCAGGGGCCAATCCAATGCTTGTCAGGGGCCAATCCAATGCTTGTCAGGGGCCAATCCAATGCCTGTCAGGGGCCAATCCATTGCCAATCAAGGGCCAATCCATTGCCTGTCAGGGGCCAATCCGATGCCTGTCAGGGGCCAATCCAATGCTTGTCAGGGGCCAATCCAATGCCTATCAAGGGACAATCCAATGCCTGTCAGGGGCCAATCCGATTCCTGCCAGGGGCCAATCCGATGCCTGTCAGGGGCCAATCCGATGCCTGTCAGGGGCCAATTCAATGCCTGTCAGGGGCCAATCCATTGCCTATCAAGGGCCAATCCAATGCCTGTCAGGGGCCAATCCAATGCCTGTCAGGGGCCAATCCATTGCCTATCAAGGGCCAATCCAATGCCTATCAGGGGCCAATCCAATGCCTATCAAGGGCCAATCCAATGCCTGTCAGGGGCCAATCCAATGCCTATCAAGGGCCAATCCAATGCCTATCAAGGGCCAATTCAATGCCTGTCAGGGGCCAATCCAATGCCTATCAAGGGCCAATCCAATGCCTATCAGGGGCCAATCCATTGCCTATCAAGGGCCAATTCAATGCCTATCAGGGCCAAACTACTCAAATCAGGGCCAATTCAATGCCAATCAGGGCCAAACTACTCAAATCAGGGCCAATTAAATGCCAATCAGGGGCTAATCCAATGCAGACCAGGGGCCAATCCATTGCCTATCAAGGGCCAATCCAATGCCTATCAGGGGCCAATCTAATGCAGATCTGGGGCCAATCCAGTGCCAATCAGGAGCCAATCTATTCAAATCAGAGATCAATTTAATGCCAATCACGGGCCAATCTACTCAAATCACAGGCCAATGCAATGGTCATCAGAAGCCAATCTACTCAAATCAGAGTCCAATCCAATACTGATCAGGGAATCTTTTCTGTGAAAAGCTATCATGCTTCACGAATAATTTGTTATCCAGCTTTGGTTGCAAGTAATATTTTATCAATACAGTAAGAGTGACTACATGGTTATTAATGCACCAGATTAGTCAAGTTGACATCTTCATTGCTAAGTGTGTTATGAAAAGCATGAACTATGATGAGATGGCCATGCATCAACTCTAAACTAGAATAAAAGTTAAAGATAAGACATAAATGCAAGAAAATAAAAATTACCAAATTTCCAAGATTAAAGTAGCAATCAGGATATTTTCTTCTGTGTTTTAAGGCATTATAATAACTTTTCTCAGATAATTCATATTTCTTGAGAGTAGCTTGTACAATCCCTAAATTCATCCAAGCTGCAGCAAATTCAGCTCTGTAACAGAATATAATCATCATCAATTCCTGATTCTCCAATTAATGACGATGTAATTCTGTTTGCGCATACCTAACCTCCCTAGCAACGGGTGAGGGTATGACAGAAATATAAAAAAAACAGACATGCAACCCCGGAAGTATTGGTACGTACAAGATGGGCAGCTAGAAGGACTATGTAATACAGCTGAGAAACCATTGAAAATGATTTTTCACTGAGTAAATAGGACAAAAATCTGCAAAAAATATGAAAATGTTAAATGTCATGTTCGTTATTTTGCTTAGGCAGAATAGTGTGCACATTTTTAGAGGCTGGTGCGAGTTAGTTGACAGATGATGGCAGTTTTATACTTATATTTGCGAATATCCCTTTTTTTTATGAACTACCTAATATCATAATATATGCATACTTTTGTGTAATAATTGATGGGTTGAGTTCTCATCCTTACCTGATTTCAACTGCTTTATTAAGGAGGATTTCAGCTTCCAGTAATTCACCATGGTCTTTTAAAATATTGGCAAGATTATTCATTGCTTGATCATACTCGGGATATAACCTGACAATCAAATATATAATACATTGCAGAGTATCATATTCTGTAAATCATAACGGAAATTATGGATGCCATTTATGGTTCACCTGATGTATTCCTATCAATGTCATGCTTGAGTTGTGCAGTCTCTGTGAATGGTCAAGCCCATTTATAGGATAGCATGAGTTGGTAATATACATCTTCAATCTGATAAACACTGGCTAAATAAACTAAGCCAGTAGTGATACATTATAATCTACTACCATAGCACTGCACTGCATGAACTCAGATTGGAAGTACTGCTAAATTATGCACAATTTATTTTCAAGACTAGGTTACCATAAGGTTTAAGTTACTGATCCCCACAAATATATCATTATAGACAGTAATTGGATTATACATTCAAGCTTAAGTTTTATAATGAACTTGTTCATTCTTAGTTGTTGACATCATTGTTGTCTTTAAAAGCTTCAAAAATGTGTAAAATATTAAAACTGCACTTTTCATATAAACTATGAAGCAGAACAAAATTGTTATTTTTTTTTATTTGTTGTTACTGGATCAACAGAGCCTACTAATTCAAATCTAGAATTCCTAGTTCTTTAAAAGGCTTCTGAGAAAATGAAGTCACTTATATGGTGGATATTCACTACTCATTGAGATGAAAATGTCTGCATTCAATAATATGCACTTAGCAATAGTACTGGGGACAGACGGTTGTTAAATCCCGATCTGATATACCATACCATTCTCCTAAAACATGGTCTGGAAATATATATATATACAGCTGAGTGAACAGTCACCTTTGGGAATCCAGCCCTTCCCTTTTGCAAGACAAAAATGCTAACCACTAACTACTGTTTTATCTTGTTATTCATATCGGTATGTACACTCCAAGACTCCAACTCAAGCATTTTGAATCACTATCATAACCATTTGTATTCATTCTCAAAAAAATACATATACTTGTACTGCATACTGAATAGAATGTCTTACTTTATAGCTGTCCTGTATTCCACTATGGCCTCATCCAACTCTCCACTGTCAGCAATATTCTTTGCTATGTTATAATGTACCTATAATATAGTTACATATCAGTATGGTATTGCTAGGTAGATTACAGCCCCAAAGTTATATCACTTTAGTAAAACGAGGTAAACCTAAATAGCATAGGCTTATATCAGTCTTACCTTAGCATTGAGGGGGCACACCTTAGCACCAGAACGGTAAAGTAATCGTTCATTTGTCCATTCATGACTTCTTTGTACACTTCTCCACATGTTAGCCAACATTAAAATGAACACGAATATCATAATTATCTGTAAGACATGAACATTTTCAAAATGTAATATTATTCCCTTTAGAATATGGCAATACAGGGCAAATTAAGGCACCATAACTAACATGTACTGCGATTGGGACAGTTTCCTAATTTACTAAATATGGTACTATAACAACCTATACATCATCTGAAAGCTTAGATATAGAAGAACAAGGTAAGCCATATGAAGCACCGATATTTGTCAGAAGTGGTTCAAATGGATTGAGGACATGAACCAATATGATCAAAAGTGGTTTAGAAGGATTAACCTGAAATCTCAGTAGGTTTGAATGTCAAGAAAACAGATATTATGATTAAAGTAGATTTAGTTCAGGAAAAAAAGCAACAAACATAAACCATCACAGAATAGTCATGGTAATACTGCTTGTAGAATAGAGTAGATAATGTAACATTTCTTTTTTGGTTAACAAGTTAATAAAGTTGTATGTGCTTACCTTTTTCATCTTAGTATGATATCTGCATAGTTTACACAAACCCAACACAGTCAGTATACAGTAACCTACACTAGGCAAATATAGCTGTCTTTCAGCTATAACAAAACCAACTTGAAAAAAAAGATTTGTAGCTGGCAGGAATGGGATGATTAATAAGGAGAGTCCCATAATAAGTATTCTGAAATTCAAAGAATAATAATTTGAGCTCACACACATACTGTGGAATACTTTATTTTCGCTGGAATTAATTTTCACTGAAAAGGCTTTTTGGGCGTTTTGCTTGGAATTTATTTTCACTGATTTTTGATGAGTTTAATGTAAAATATAGGAAAAAAAGTATATTTGCTGGATTTTATTTTCACGGAATCATGCCTTCAGCGAAAATAGCGAAAATAAATTCCAAGCGAAAATAAAGTATTCTACAGTAAATTTGTTTATATATTGAATTGTTCATCCAACATTTCCAGAAGTTGTGAAGTAATAGTAAAAGCATACAGACAAAATAAATAAAACATTTTACACACGAATTTTACATATAGATTTATGCATGTCTCACTGTACAGTGACAGGTGTATCACGTTCCAGGGCTACAGAATTATAGCTGATAAGCACCATTTGCATTAAGTTAGAGCGTGCCGTAATTTTGCGGTATTTCACAGGATATTTTCATCCTACCATATAGGGAAATGCAAATTCCAAATATGGAATGATTATGCACGTAACATGGCTGTCATCAGGGTTTGACTGGACTCCACATAAAGAAGTGCATATTTTCGTAATAACCTCATATTATGTTGTGTAAGTACCGTAGGTTCATTGTGTTTGAAAGAATAATGTTGACAGTGGAGTGCTGTATGCAACTGGTCTCATCATCTTTGCCAGCCAAGGTTCATTTGTTAGATCTCACCATCACTGATACCTTGGCAGAAATCCCACAATAAACTTGTATTCACTGTTGAAGAAATCAAACAACGACGCATCCTCTGGTGTGTTGTGTATGACATGGCTCCATGGGAAATCGAAAGCTATGATGTGATACAAACCGACACTATCTAGTGGTTCAAATTTGAAATTGATTTGAGTTGATTTTACAGGAGCGCTGATTGGTGATGCATCCAGCACATCTCTATGCCCAATCAAATCATTCAATTGAGGTTAATTACAGCATTTCTTAACACAATCACACACAGGTTCATAGAGACAGCTAATGATGTTAGCCTGTGCGAATTCTTCAATGTGGTCCAAGAGAAAAATCTGTTTCTCACCTAATACAATAGTTGTAATCCTGCTGGTGACAGAACAACTATGGCTTGACTATCATCAAATTAAACTCACCTTTTTTCATGGCATGGTTTTGTGATTAGTGCTAATGTCAGCAAACATCCTAATATCGTCCAAAATGCGAATACGGCTAATATCCTTAGATCAGTAATGCTTTCTATAAGTGGTATACATCCCATGGCCCAATCAAAACATAACCACCATGGATTGACTAATAACCAACAATTTAATGCGTAGATATAATTATAATTGATTATCTGCAAAATGAATAAGAATTTTAGAGTCACTTCATATCATGCTGTATGTATGTGTGATATGCCCACTATAGTACATGTATGTCCTGGGTATACGAGTCAATGCCAATACCTTAATGGCTGAGGGTATTTATGTTAAAAACTCAATTAATCAATTTGTAGTTATTCTGGTATCATACTTTGATGGTGATGAAACAAGTTATCTGCTTGTCTCTTGTCTTTAAATTGAAATGTCACATTTTTGACAGGTATGCAAAGTGTCTCTCGCTATAAGGTATAATACAAGTTGCTGTTTAATTATTAATTGGCGTAAGGTAATTTGGTAGAAGGAAAAACAAGTTTTATCATGCATTTTGTAAACAAAAATCTGTGAATTAAAAACAAAACAAAACACAATTCGCTCACCACCCCTCGACTTTCTCTCGACAAATCTGTGCAGTAGGTATTTTAGTTGTTAGTCTATCTAGGTCCTGAAATCACTGTTTCAAAAGACACATGTGATACAAAGGTGTCATTGCATACTATAAATTCCAGATATTTAAACTTGATTATTGATTTCAAAATAACAGCTACTCTTAAGTGAATAGAAAGGCTATTAAAGTATGAGAAATGATGAAGAACAGACGTAGGTTGTCTATGGAGAAGTCAAACTTACCCTTGTAACCACACTGTCAGCAAATGAAGCTGGATTGTCTACAGGTTGAAATGATGGAGCACCAGATCCCATTATATACCACCGATATGCCAACATGATGATAGCAGAGATGCACAATATAAACTGTCTCTTTAGTAAAACACTTAACCATGGTGTTTTACTTTCACTGGTCTCTTTATGTTTTAATAAGGTTCTGATCAATGACATGGGATCCACTTTGTTTATAACAATGATGTCATATGCACTGCAAATACCCTGAAATATGATCAATGGATTAATTTGACTGTTGGAGGAAAGGTTAGTACATGTATGCATAGTCAAATGTTATTATAAGCCACATTTGTTATCACATAAAACAAGGTATTTTTTATGGTTATCCTTCCTACAATGTTCTTGTCATATCACAACCATGGTAGTGGATATGGTTATTACCATGGTAATTACAATTGTTATCAACTGGTTACAAATCTTGCAGAGTTCCAAGTATTAAAGAAATTAAGCTGGTTGTTATCAAGAAGGAGTCAAAAATAGAATTATTTATGGACACTGAAAAGACAGCCGGACGGTGCAAAATTAACAATATGAACAGTTCCACTAAAAAGGGGAAGCTAAAATTGGATACTAACAATTGCTGTTATTCCAAGCTCTTTAAATAACATGGCAGTTGCACAACACACGACACTTGATAAAACCAATACCACAGAAGAATATGACTTATTCTTAGCTGCATCTAGAATAAAAATACAGTGTTATAGTACTGTTACAGCACAACACTTTATCATCATTACTGATTACATCACACTTCATAAACAGTATTGATTACATCACAATACTTTATCATCATTACTGATTACATCACACTTCATAAACATTATTGATTACATCACAATACTTATCATCATTACTGATTACATCACACTTCATAAACAGTATTAATTACATCACAATACTTATCATCATTACCGATTACATCACACTTCATAAACAGTATTGATTACATCACAATACTTATCAACATTACCGATTACATCACACTTCATAAACATTATTGATTACATCACAATACTTTATCAACATTATTGATTACATCACACTTCATAAACAGTATTGATTACATCACAATACTTATCATTACTAATTACATCACACTTCATAAACAGTATTGATTAGATCACAATACTTATCAACATTACTGATTACATCACACTTCATAAACAGTATTGATTAGATCATAATACTTATCAATATTACTGATTACATCACACTTCATAAACAGTATTGATTGCATCACAATACTTTATCAACATTATTGATTACAACACAATACTTTATCAACATTATTTATTACATCACAATACTTTATCAACATTGACTATAACAATACTTTATCAACATTGATTACATCACAATACTTTATCAACATTGACTATAACACAATACTTTATCAACATTGATTACATCAAAATACTTTATCAACATTGACTATAACAATACTTTATCAACATTGATTACATCACAATACTTTATCAACATTGACTATAACACAATACTTTATCAACATTGATTACATCAAAATACTTTATCAACATTGATTACATCACAATACTTTATCAACATTGATTACATCACAATACTTTATCAACATTGACTATAACAATACTTTATCAACATTGATTACATCACAATACTTTATCAACATTGACTATAACAATACTTTATCAACATTGATTACATCATAATACTTTATCAACATTGACTATAACACAATACTTTATCAACATTGATTACATCAAAATACTTTATCAACATTGATTACATCACAATACTTTATCAACATTGACTATAACAATACTTTATCAACATTGATTACATCACAATACTTTATCAACATTGACTATAACACAATACTTTATCAACATTGATTACATCACAATACTTTATCAACATTGACTATAACACAATACTTTATCAACATTGATTACATCATAATACTTTATCAACATTGACTATAACACAATACTTTATCAACATTGATTACATCACAATACTTTATCAACATTGATTACATTACAACACTTCATAAACATTATTTATTACATCACAATACTTTATCAACATTGACTATAACACAATACTTTATCAACATTGATTACATCACAATACTTTATCAACATTGATTACATTACAACACTTCATCAACATTATTCACTACATCATAACACTTCATCAACATTATTCACCACATCATAACACTTCATCCACAATATTGATTGATTGATATACATTTCATACAATTCTTATGTGATTTACTATACCTGCATAACAAGCTCTGATATATAACATGAAAGAGAAGAAGAAAAACAAGGCACATAATAAATCAGCACGTCCAACAACCCCAGCTACCTATATAAAAAAGACACAAAATACAGTCAGTCACAAACAATCAACCTTTAATGTTTTTATAATTTCCATCCGTACTGATGAAGACCTCATTTTTGTAATTTATGTAGTCACAGCATGTTCACCCCTTATTTCTAGCTGACCAGCTTACAGGAGTGGCCACAGCATGACCACCCCTGATTTCTAGCTGACCAGCTTATAGGAGTGGTCACAGCATGGCTACCTCTGATTTCTAGCTGACTAGCTTATAGGAGTGGCAACAGGATGCCTATCACTGATTTCTAGCTGACCTGCTTATAGGAGTGGTCACAACATGGCTGTCACCGATTTCTAGCTGACCAGCTTATGGGAGTGCTCAGAGCATGGCCACCACTGATTTCTAGATGACCAGCTTATAAGAGTGGTCATAGCATGCCTATCACTGAGTTCTAGCTGACCAGCTTATAGGAGTGGTCACAACATGGCTGTCACTGATTACTAGCTGACCAACTCATAGAACTGGTCACAGCATGT